TTGTATCCAATCCAACGCCAACGCCAATGCTAGCTGAACATGCGATGCTTTTCTCCATCAATCGAGACTGCGTAATCCAACTTACACCTCGTTGCTAGGATATGTAACCTTCTCCGTAGGCATAAACTCCTCCTTAATCGCCCTCATATTGACGAACCTCGCGAGCAAGTTCGCACTACCAGCCTTGTCATTCGTTCCACTAGCCCTCGACCCACCGAAAGGCTGTTGACCAACAACCGCACCTGTGCACTTGCAGTTGATGTAGAAGTTACCAGCCGCATCCCTCAGCTTCTCAGACGCGTACTTGATAGTCTCCCGATCCTTTGCGAACACAGCGCCCGTCAACGCGTACTCAGATGTGTCGTCGATCTGCTTGATGATGTTGGCGAAGGCGTTGGGCGCCGCGTCGTCATAGACGTAGGCTACGAGGACGGGGCCGAAGAGTTCGCGGGATAGGAGGGGGTGGTTGGGGTTCTTGGTACGGTAGATGGTAGGGTGGATGTAGTAGCCCTTGCTGCTGTCGTACTTGCCTCCAACGACGAGCTCGAGCTCGCTGTCGTTCTTGGCTTCGTCGATGACGCCGGACAGCTTCTTGAAAGACGCTTCGTGGATGACGGGGCCGATGAAGTTGGAGAAGTCGGTGGGCTCGCCGATCTTCAGGGCTTCGACTTCACGGACGAGAATCTCTTTGAATTCGGGCCAGGCGGACTCGGGTACGTATAGACGGGAGCAGGCGCTGCACTTTTGACCTTGGTACTCGAATGCACCGCGGACGGTCTGGATAGCTGCGTTGTGGATGTCGGCATCTTTGTGGACGAGATGGAAGTTCTTTCCTCCTGTCTCACCAACGATCCTGGGGTAGCTCTGGTACTTGCCCTCAGCCACACCGTTCGCGATCTTTCCGTATAGTTGACGGAATACCGCTGTGCTACCGGTGTAGTGCAGAGATGCGAATTGCTTGTGGTTCAGGACTTCCTGGGTTACCTCCACAGCATCACCGGGCACCCACTGGATCACGTTTGGTGGAAGGCCAGCTTCGATGAGAATCTGGTAGAGAAGCCAGTTCGAGGCGATCGCAGATGGGGATGGCTTCCAGACAACGACGTTGCCCATCAGGGCTGGGGCTGCAGGGAGGTTACCGCCGATGGCTGTGAAGTTGAATGGTGACACTGCGTAGACGAAGCCCTCGAGAGGTCGGTACTCAACGCGGCTGCACCTGTTAGCTTCGTTCCCGAGCTATAACCAGATACTTGACTTACTTCCAGACTCCTGGCGAGTTGTGCGTGGGCTGGTGTCCGTATGTGTCTTCCGCGTACTTGACGTTGAACCTCAGGAAGTCGCACAGCTCAGCCGCTGAGTCAATCTCAGCCTGCCACGCGTTCTTGCCCTGTCCCACCATGGTCGCAGCCATGATCTCGTATCGGTACTTTGTGGCGACGAGGTCGGCCGCCTTCAGGAACACGGATGCGCGTTCGGCGAAGGGAAGTGCCTCCCATGCTGGCTTAGCAGCTAGGGCTGCGTCTATGGCCTTCTTCACATCGGCTGCGCTGGCATTGGAGTATTTGGCGATAACGTCGGCGTGGGAGGAGGGGTTGTTCTGAGTGAGGATTGAGGAGTTGTTGATCTGAATGGTGTTAGAGTGACATGAGACTCGTATGTGCGTGTGGAAGGCCTACGTATTCTCCTCCTACGGCAAGAGGTACTTGTACTGGTCCTTGCTTCTTCATACGTGCAACCGCATCTTGAAGCTTCTGGCGGTCTACCGAGCCTTTGGCATAATGTTGCTATAATTTTGAGTCAGCAAATTGATTCTGAGCATATACAACATCTCTCATCTTACGTTGGGCTCATTGTTGATAGTGGGAATCTTGAAGTTTGCGAGCGTCCCCGCATACCGTCTCGATGCGATCTGCGCGCCAGCATAGGCTGCGGGCAGCGCATTCAAAGTCTTGGAAGCAGAGCGCAGAGGCTGAAGACCCTTTGAAGAACCCATTGTGTGTGTGATGATAATTGTGACTGTCCAAAAATCTAAAGGGACGCGTCGTTATGTATCTTGAGCTATGAAGCTTGACGTGATGGAGCTCTCGGTTTCCGTCGGCTCTCACCCCAAAGTGTGGGGCGGCGAAACCTACCTATGGGAGCGAACATATCGCCGAACACTCCCATCGGTGTGGGGTTGCAGCTTGGAGAGAACTTTTTCGCTTGTACTATGGTACGATGCGGATCCGATATCGCAGAAACTGATTCGGTCAGTAGCGGTACACGATCTACATACGCTCATCGCAAGGCTTGCATCGGAAGGCTCTAAAATGTCTAGGATCAGGAAAGTAAGATCGTCTTCATGAACATGTATCATTGTTAGGCCCGATATCTAGTCGGAACTTTTTCCTATGTGCGAGTCAAGTACACTAGCACTACAGCCTTACGAACGCCATTTCGCCATAACAGTCAACACGAGCTGCCTACTCCTCCATAGCCTCTGGTACCGCCGTATCATTTGAATCATCACCCCATAGACCATCAAGCTTGAACTCTGCAGCCCATTCCTTGACGATCTCCTTCTGATCGCCAACGAGTCCGCCCTTCGTAGCTGGTGCAGTCTTGGTGGTATCAGGCTCGGCAGGTGTGTACTTGGGAGGGCTGGTCCATCCTTGAATGCGACCATCTCTCCAGTCAATGATGACGGTTTGTGCCGCGGCGTGCATGTTGGGTACACCGCCCTTGCCCAGACGGCCTCTCTTCCTTGCCACTTGAACCAAGAAGTCGGTCGTCCTGTCGTTGCCCACAGCGTGTAGGGGAGGTAGATCGTAGACTGCCATCAATTTCGAGAAAAGCTCCTCCGAGGACGACAGTCTCTTAATGAGCAGACTGACAGCGGGAACAGGGTCGTCAATCTCTTTCGGGGGTACGGCGTTTAACAAAATCAGGCGCGCCTTCTGTTGTACTTTGCTGTCCTTGGAACCTTCGGTGTTGGGGAAAACGATACCAGGCGAGTCGATAAGTTTCAACTTGTTGTCGATCTTGACTTCGCGCAAACTGGTGGTAACTCCCGCCTCAGCACCGGTAGGACATCCAGCAGCCTTGCCGCCTACTCTCGACGTCAAGGCATTGATGACGGATGATTTGCCAACGTTGGGAAATCCAATAATTCCAACGTGGACTGCGCGCTTCAACTGACGGGACTCAGCGAAGGTCTTGAGAGCCTTGAAGAGTGTCTCGGATGTTCCCTTGATTGAGAGGTCCTTGTGCTCGAAGGTTTGCGCGTTGGGCGCAGATTTCGACGCACGTAGAGGAAGAGTAGGGAATGAGCGACGTAGATGAATCAACCATGCGCGTAGTACCGGTGGTGGGACCAAGTCGATCTTGTTGAGGATGAATATCAAGCGCTTGCTTGAACGGTCGGCTGCCATGACGGCCTGCTCCACCTCTTTCGATCGCGTTCCCATTGGGTCGCGAGCATCGAGCACGTACAGAACAACATCCGCGGCGTCGACGACCGTCTTGTACACCTTGTCGAACTGTTTTCTTGACGCATCTTTGCGGACCTTGACTGCATCATCGCCATCCGACTCGTCGTCATCGCTGTCTTCCATGGCATCTGGGTCGTCGTTCTTCTCGAATTCTGCGGCGCGCGCTTTGGCGGAAGCTAGGAGAGCTGCCATAGGGTTGAACTTGTTGTCCTGCATCTCATTAGTACGGTCGCGCATCGTATACTAGCCACTTAGACTTACCACCTGCATCGAATCCTCGTCTTCGCTGTCGTCAGCGAGTAGTTCGTCGCCTTCAGCGTCGAATTGCTCAAACTCTTCGTCGTCCTCCATGACGTCCTCGGCGGTTGCGCCCTTCTGTTGTTGCTCCTTCGCTAGCTGGCGTCGGCGCGCATTGTCTTCTTCCTTCCTCCTGCGCTGCTCCTCCACTTCTGCGAGAATCTTATCTTTGTAGGGAAACAGGTTGGGAATGCCGGGTTCCTTCTTGGTCTTGGAGCGCCATGTTGGGTCCTATGTGCGTCAGAATGCGAGCGCTGTAGTCGCGCATGGTGGCAGTACCTTCTTGGCAAGCTTCTTCGCCTTCTTCTGCTTCGCCGCTGAAGCCTTCTCGATCTTGTGCCTTAACCGCACGGGTACGCGCTTCGACTTTGGCTCTACAATGATCGTTAGTTCTATAACGAGGCTGAATCCTGTGAGAAGCCTTACTTCCGACCTTCATATTGAATTGTTGGCGTGGTGTATGTTATCGCAATCGTCCACAGAAAAGTTCTGGCCGATCCAGAAAAAGTTCGGCACGTGAAAAGTTCTGCCGCTTGTGTCCGCCTACCTAGCTTTGGCCCCACCCCCGCGGCGCTGGCCATGCTCAACCCTTACGCTCTACAACAACACAAATGAAAATAGCTCCATCTGTAGCCTCTATTCATCTTCTGGAACGTCAAGCGAAGGCCAGTCTTCGCGGCTGTTCTCCAGCGTCGCGACTAGCATCTTTTAGTTGTCGTCATCATGATTGGCTGCATCATCGGCAGCTGTCGGATCCGATACCGGAACGAGTTAGCGCGATAATGTATTCTCTTTCCCACCAGGTGTACATCTATAATAGTCCGCTCGGGTACTTCACTATATCATTGCGACATCTTGACTTTATTGACTGAGATCCAGCTCATCGCATCTCTAACTTCAAACCATGACTGTATCGGAGCCTTCCTTCTCGGCACCTGCCAAAACAATCCCCTTCCATGGCTTGGTAAGACGCACGCTCACTTGCATCGCAAATTGATACTAATATCTCATCACCTGCAGCTCTTTGATATGGAGTGCGTTATACTCATTGAAAGCATCTTACCAGTCAGCTAATATAGGTAGTGGGACTATCATCGATTCCACAGAGGCCATTGTAAAACATTGGCACAAGTAAGTAATAGCCGAGCATGCTCACGTCTACAGGCTTACATGTCTGCATCAGGATTGGGAAAGAGATAGGTGTCGATCCTAATGTCATCCTCGCTTCATCACATGGTCGAAGGTCGATCGACGTCCTTCGGATCTATGAGCCAAAGCTCGCAAATGAGGAGTGTAAGTGCCATATCTTCACTTTGACAAAAGCACGCATCTGACAGATAAGATATCTCCCAGGCAGAGGGGTTGATTCCGAAAGAATTCGGACAAGACGCCATTGAGATTCCCGGTTCACGAGCTCTGTTGGACAAGCTCGAAGAGCACCTTGTCCCATGGTCCATTGTTACCTCAGGCACGCGACCTCTTGTGCAAGGCTGGCTCGATGTCATGAAGCTGGCGCACCCCAAGAATCTCGTAACGGCAGAGGATGTGCCCAACGGCAAGCCAGACCCGGCGCCGTACCAGATGGGTGCAAAGAAGCTGGGGCTGCAGGAAAACAAATCTTCTATCATTGTCTTCGAGGATGCGCCTGCAGGCGTCAAGTCTGGAAAGGCAGCAGGGTTCGTCGTGGTGGGACTTTACACCACACATACGCTAGAACAGCTGATAGAAGCTGGCGCAGATTACATTGTCAAGGACATGCGCAGTGTCACGCTGACATCATGGGACAAAGCAACAGGGCAAGGAGACATACAGATCGCAGATGCCTTAGTCTAAGCGAAGAGAATCAACACCGACTGTTACCTTACTCGTCTTTGTGTGGGCGATTCAGTATTTTGCCAGGATCGTGAGCCTGCTTGCTCGACATTTTCAGGTTTACTGCAAGCTCAGCTTACACCGGTGACTGAGCTGCAGTCAGACGGTTTAAGCTTACGATAAGCCGTAGATTGGATGGAAGATGAGGTCGGAGACCGATTGTGCGGCGAAGCAACAATGTTTGGAGGTTGAAATCTACTTCATGCGTGCACAGCCTCGCGACCCTTAAAGAGCATGCAGGAGTGTCGCTTGGAGTGCTAGCCTTGTTCGACTCGCCGTGTCATCCTCCCTGTACGGGAATCACGGAATGCAGCGCATCGCATGAAATACTCCATTTCGAGCAGTCTGCGCCCCATCGAACTGTTTTCTGGAAAGACGACGGCACCACAAGCTACTGCAGTCGAAGACGTCAGCTGGGTGTGCCGTCTCTGTGGTGCGACACGACCAGCTGGCGTAGCAGACTCGCAAAGAAGACTAAGTTCAGACGGGTTGGCGAGGACGTCTGATAGTCGGCAGGGTGCAGCGCATGATAGGGACGCCCTTGCAGCACGAGGTTTTTTGGTTTGGGCCAGCGGGTCCCCCAGCTGGGGGCGCACTGAGTCTTCCGAGCTAGGCTGGGATTATCCGTCGCCCAAGTCAGTCAACACACGAAGTTTGTAGGACAAGCTGGGGCCAATTTGAGTTTCGCAGGTGGTACGGAAGCCCCTTTGCTGCAAGGTACGCTCAGGAACCGTCGATATGTTGCCAAAACATGTGCGCCGACTTCCGAGCCAGCAGATCAGCGGCGCGATATGCCCCTTGGCCATGCGCCCGGGGGGCATCTCGTCACACAGATGGTCGACTCGGACCGGAAGCGGTTACTGACAAAGAGCTACTCGGCGAGTCGTGAGAGGCACAGGATGTCGGCACGACGGCGAGCGCAATGTTGACGCCATCAGCTCAAAACAGCGCTCGAGCCCGTTGCCCACGTTGAAGCCATGCCGGCACCGACGGTGACTAGACATTTGACGTGGAACGTGGTTGAGCAGGCAGGCTGCGTTGGCATTAACCTGCACTCTCACACGCTCATGTATATTCTCCGAACGGGGGAAGGCCCAAGCTGCAGCACCATCCATCGCCTTCAAATCAGTGGGACATGTCTCCCGCCCGAGGGCGGATCACAGCCGCCGCCGCAGCTCGCTCCACCGCCGGACCAATTGGCGTGAGGCAGGAGAGTGCCCCTGGGCGCGCTTCACGATTGCGCGCCGGGGTTGGGCGTGCCGGCCAGTGCTGTGAGTCTATGTGTATGCGAGCGTGTGGCCGCCCTCCACGGAGCACGAGGGCGAGCAGGTGCAAGAAACAGAAGATCGAATCATCCGATGCGTCTTCTCCAGGATTCAGGTGTGCTGAGCGGAGACGACGAGTGTCACGAAACTATTTTTGTGCCGGAGCAGCATAATGCATGCTGGGGGGTTCAGTGGCTTAGCAAGTTAGCACCTCCGACCAACCAAGCGGCACCTGGGCAGCCAACAACCTGATCGCTCCTCCTGCTCTTCTTCTCCGTCGTCGTTCGCTTCGTGCCTTTCCCTACCGCGCCGTCGCGCTGAATACCCTCGTTTTTCTATTGTAGATATAGAGTCTACTGCTGTTGTTTTCGCTCCCCTTCGTAATCGTCGCTCGCTACCATTACTGGCATCTTCCCTCGACACATATCTATCCCAGCGCCGACCCGTCTCGGTGCATCCCGTGCATCCGTGCTCTACGCATTATCGCCCATCACCAGCGCCCCAGATTCCGCCGTCCACAGCTGCACCCACCTGTCACTACCCGAACGCGCCCACGCCGACGACTTTATTGCAGCCCTCGTCGCCCTTGACTCTGCGCCCCTCTGAAGCCGCTCTGCCTGTATTGCCGCTGTGCGCGCCGCCATGGATTCTAGCGGGGCCTCGACGACGGCACCCTCTGCTCCCAAGCAGCCTGGCAGCGATGTCAAACCCCGCCTCACCAAGGACCAGCACGACATCCTCGAGCAGCACTTTCTGGCGCAGCACAAGCCCAGTACCAATGTAAAGAAGGAGTTCGCGACGCGCCTCGGCGTGCCACTGGACAAGATCAACGCAAGTGTCCTGTCATGATGTATGCCTCGCGTCGCTAACACGACTGCAGAATTGGTTCCAGAACCGCAGAGCCAAAGTCAAGCAGGACCGCAAGAAGCTAATGAACCAGTACAACATGACCATGAGCCTTCCGTTTGGACACCAGCACGTGCCCGTCATGTCTAACCACTACGCGCACCCGCAAGAGCAGCAACATCCGCATATGCTCATGCAGCCGGACTTTTATCCGAACGCTGACATCAGCCCTGCAACGCTTCCCGTGCAAACGGGCGAAGGACCATCAGCCCTCGACCTGGGCCCTCAGCTCATACTGCAGCACCCGCACCAGCACCAGCACCAACACCAACACCAACAGCATCAACAGCAGCAGCAACAACAATACGACATGCAAAACGCCCTCCACGCAGTCCCGGAGCCCGACCGTTCCGCATCGTACCGCTCCAACGACCTCATGCACTCGATCATGGCTGCGACCAACGGTGCCTACATGCACAACAGTGGCATGGGTCTTAATGCGCAAGAGCAAGACTTCTCTTACGACAACAACGGTGTCAACGGGCTGCCCAATGCGTACTCGAGCGACCTAGGTGCCTTTTCGGTTCCCGCGTCCATGCCCAGCGACATCGCACCTTCACACCCGGAATTCGACAACTTCGCCGACTTCCAGATAGACTACTCGGCACTTGCTGCGACCAACACCACCAACTCTACATCTGCAGAAGCTCAGCAAAGTACAGGATCCATCTCGTCGGACGCGTCCCCATACAATGGCACCCAGTCATCTGGCACCACGCAATCACCAAACGGGCCAACACCCCCATCCATCGCCTCTTTGAACTCGGTTTACACCGGCTGGACAGAAGATCCCTCGCAAATGGCACAGCCCAAGCAGGTCGAGGAACCAGAGGATCAATTCGCACCATACAGTCTTGCTCAGGCTTCAGCCTCCGAACAGACGCTTCCATTCTGGCCCCAAGATGGCTCAAACCAAATGTACCCGCAGTCGAACTTCTACCAACAGCCAAACTCGTCTGCACACGCCATCCTCACTTCACCGGAACAAGCACGGAAGCTCAGTGCTGCGCCCTCTGATCTCGACATTCCACTGCACTTCCGCGAGGATGCGTTTGCCCGAAGAAACTCTTCAAGCAGCAATCTGGCCAACAACATGGACGCGATTCATATCCGAAACGGTACTCCGGAGGGTTTCCAACAATCAGATCAGCACTCAAGCATCGCTGCGAGAAGACAGAAGCGTCCAGTCAACCTGAACTCCAGCGCAATGAGGAGCGCCTCGTATTCTGCCCCCATGCCATCGCCAGGAGGCAACAACGACAAAGTCATCCGCCGAATTCGATCAACTGGAATTGCGAACGCTGGAGGTCGTGTTCAGAAATCGCAGCCAGGTTCAGCGCAACGCTCACCTATGGCTATGAGCTTCTCGGATGCTGCTGCGTCGCCGAAGTTCGCACGAACGTTCTCGACTTCGAGCACCACCACAATTGGACAAGGCGGTAGTCTAGCACCACCAACTCCACTGACACCACAAGATTTCGGCAACTATTGGGGTGGTGCTGCCGTGATAAGACCGCATTCCGCGATGCCGGATCACAACAGCCCAGAGAGCATGCACGCGAACTGGTCCAACGACCAATCTGGAAACGTGATTGCGAAGAGCACTTCACCGCCATCTTCGTCCATGGATTTGCAATCGCGCTTTGTAAACGACGCTTTGTACCGCGACACACCGCCGCAGTCAGCACCAGCGACACAGCAGCACTTCCCTCGAACGTCATACATGCAGCAACCCCAGATGCGTGCAGCCTTCCATTCCACGACCGATCTTACGATTCAACAACCGAAGCCCTCACACTTCAGGCGACCATCGCTACCTGACACAGCTCAGACGCAAGGCGATGACAGCAATGTCCAGTACATGCAGGGCGGAAACATGTATGATGACTATAAGGACATGTCATTGAGTGGCATCCATCACAACGTTCCCTTCGCGCCCCAAGTCTCCGCCATGCCCGACTTCCTCGTACACCAGTACACACCACCTCAAGGCACGGATCCGCATGGAAACCTCATACGGCGAACGACCGAACCCCAGCCCAAGAGCTACATCTTCGCCAACCAGGGACCAGGGGACTTTAGAGGGTAGTAGCTTCAACCTTGATAGCATCCTTATCGCAACGTTGACCTTCGCTTCTTGACTATACCCGGACTTTTCGTCGATGCGTTTTTTATTCTTTGCCAGTCTGTTATGGCGATACGGCATACTCTTTCCACTTTATTTCTTTCACTCTCTCATTCATGGGCACACATGAAAGCATAATCTTAATACGGCACACAATCTTGGATACTATCACGATTTGGCGCAGGGCGTTGCCACCAAGGAGTTAAAAGCGTTTACTTGATCTCACACCCCGGATTCCTTTGTATTTACGGAGGACTGGATATCACGAAACGTCGTTTTGCTCAACGTAGTACATTGTTTTTCCTTTCACTCTGTATGTTTTTCTCATTTGTTCGAAGGCTGGGAGGGCATGGTGGCTTCTGTGTCTTTGGATATGTCTTGTCTGACGGGAGTCAGCTGGAGTAATGGAATAATGAATCATAGGGACTGGGTGTATTAACACCCCATTAAGTCTAGAAGAATGCAGCTATGCAGACTTGCAAATGGAATCAATATGCTTCGGCATGAGTTCACACCTCTTGGGCTTCGTTCACTTCCGTGCAGTCTAATCTTGACGGTTAACCAAACAACTACACTCTCTACATCAACATCCGCATTCGTCATGCTCATATCGTTCCCACACGCCCAGCCACATTCCAACCCACGATCCAAAGACCCGGCAATCC